ACTAGACTCCCATTAATCTCAGAAAAGTAAGCCTAGGCTACTCACAAATTGCCTATCAAGACTCTTACTTGAAATATATGCTATATATCTTGTCTACCGGTACTGACATTTTGGCATTTACTAGTAATTCAACACAGCATTTATGACTGTATTATCTAAATGACCATGACATTGCTTTTCTATGTCATATTATAGGCCTGCCATTGATTCAGCGTACTTGTTACACACGATATTCGATGCTGCGCATGCCTCGATCATACATGAATATTCAAGAGAATCGAGACTTTCCCCGGCCCTGCCTAATGAATATTCATGCTAAAACAGGAATCCGGGCTCGCCGTGGTACGAAAAAATAAGACGCCTCCCGGCAGTGCTTTGCACAAAGCTTCTGGAAAGGATTTTTTTTACCAGTGTTACTGTTGGTGGCCACTATAAGGCCCTTAGTGACAATAAAAACATAAGCTCTTCCTGGCTTTTTTGGGGAATGGGTCAGTTTGCAAGAATTAATGGAAAAAACTAGCATTTTGTTGAAAATCATGTGATATCACGAACATATACATCACTTGTGAAAAAAAGTCGTGGTTCAATTTTATTTGGGGGGGCTGAAGCCCCCCCAAGCACCCCCACCAGTACGCCAGTGGACATAAGGACCTACATCATTTTAAAGCTGAAATTTTGCTCTGTACTCTCATATTATATGTCACATACCGAAACTTCTTGTTTTGGTTTTATTGTTTTAGACTAAATTTGAAGCTCAATTAAACCGGCAATTCGGGGGTTTATCGGCACAATGCGCGTAAAAATATGGCGGAAAGAGTTTTAAATTTGAAGGCTTTTGAAATCATTGTTTGGTATTTTAAATTAAATAATGAGCTACACTATTTTAAAGCTGAAATTTTGCTTTGTACTCTCATTGAAGTTAGGGCACAAATTGGCTATAAGGTGGTTTATCCGCACAGTACAGTATTAAATATGGTGAAAATGCGTTTTCAAATTTGAAGGCTTTTGATTCTACATGTATCAGATGACATTTAACTAATATTAATGACCTACACCTTTTTAAAGCTAAAAATATTGCAGGTCAATCTGAAACAATAAGACGTACCCAGACAGGAAGTTTCGGAATGTGATAGATATATATATATATATATATATATATATATATATATATAGAGTAAAGCTTTTCTAACTGTATTGAAATTATTTTTGTAGGTGACAGGTACACACACATGTATAGTTTTGTTGTTACATAACTGGCAATTATTCCGAAATCGATTTGTACCTAAAATTATTTGTTTTTATTGTAAACTGAAAGTAATTCAGCCAACGGGCTGCCATGTTCAGTATTCTCAATAAAAAATTCATGCATTCACAATCATTCAGTCACAGGTGGGGGGGGGGGGGGGACACATGAAATGAAGAAAAAAGTATACTTTAGAGATCCTACTTCTCCCTATCGCGCATTCGCGCATAACTTATATTTCTCATGGAGTAGTATGTGTCCAATGTAATATTTCAGCCCACAAAGTTGGAACACCTATACTAATTTTGGCAAATTGAAAGTTGGGGAAAAAATATGATTATGGACTCGGGCTAACGGCCATCCAAGCTGATACCTACATTCCTTCACACCATGAAACGGCCGAGATTTCCTCCTTATAACTTGTTATGCCCCGTTTAAATTTGGCATTCCAATTCTTCTTTATGACATTCTACATGCGGTTTACATGCAGGGCTCCATCACGTCGAGCTAGGTCATCGCTCCTATGATAGTAGTTTAGCCCGAAGTGTTACTCAAACTCAAGTTTTCTTTTCCTGTTTCAGGGAACCTTTCTATTTGTTAAGAAAGTACTTCATTTTTTTTTGGTACTATCATTTTCAGTTGAATTATCAGTTTTCAAGTGTATTTCCCATCCTCAGTAGGTCAATTTTTGTTCACATTACAGATCGGAAAGCCAAACTATACAAAGCAGAACCACAACCGGAAGTTTATGTCCCAACTTGATGAAAGCCAAAAATGAGCGAAGCCTTGGGCACGACATGCACTGATGTGTTTTTTGGAGAATTTCTTGTATTGACATTAAGCAGTACAGAAATTGTATGTTATGATAATAATCGATGCAGACAACAGAGGACTCACAAAATGGACTTACATGTACATGTAAAAGTAGAACCTAACAGAAGTATTTTTTGTACACACACACACGCACCCACACATACACAACACACTCACTTATGGCATTTGGTTTACTCAGGGAAGTGATTTGTCTCACCTCCCTGGTTTAATACTCAAAGCCTCTTTCATTCAGCAACTTATTTCCACTGTGAGGATAATCACAGCAAAAAGAATTGAATTCATTGAATTAGGGAATGACACTTTTATTAAATACTTTATAGATTTTGCAATTACAGTCAAACCTGACTATTAAGTGGCCCCTGTAGACAGTTGGTCTTTCTAGACAGGTTCTACAACACACATTCCTCTCTCGATCAGGAGAGACAAACTGCATGGCCACTAGACAGCTGGCCTTTATAGACAGGATGTCACTGAGACAGGTTTGACTGTAAATACTATGTGAATTTGAGCAGACGTTAATCATATATTTCATGATTTGATATATTGCAATTACATGTAATATAATTTAATAAATTTGATGAACATGAATGCTTTTATGCTTGATGATACCCTCATGTTTGGATTCTATCTCCCTCCTTTTTACTCCAAATTGAGTTATATCCAGCATTTGCTCCAGCATTTGTTTAAAGTGATAATAACAAAGTGACTGTACATATAGCATTAATATCAAGAAGATATGTGAAATTGTAACTGCATCATTGTCTAGTATATATCCATGTCTCCACCTTGTGACTATTGACATACATGAAGGAATCCCAATTCATAATTTCAAAATATTTACCGGTAGCTCATTTGAAAACAAAAAGGTATATGCATTATTAATATACATTTCAGCACATGAAATGAAAGACAAAAGAGAAAAGTTAAATTATATCCTGAGATTTCTGTGAAAGTACATCACTTACACAGTTCAATGCAAAATATATAATAAAGACACCGAATGTAGTTTACATATTTATCATTTTACAAGCTAAAATATCATGAATACATGTTTGCATAATTATATTGCACTTTTGTCAGCTTACAATGCATAATCATCAAGTTATAGCCAAAGAATATTTGAAATATAATCAACAAATATTAGTTTTAACAATGCAGTGCACAAGCTCAACCAATATGCAATTCATATTTTATAAATAAAAAATTTACATCTCTTCAACAATGTAGAATGATTTATTGCTAAAAGTTTGCCATATAATCTCTTTCAAATTTAGATTGATGAGAACAATAATGAATGAAGGTCAGATCAGTAACAAAATAATCTTTTAACATATCTGTTTGATTCAGCATATAATCAAATGTTCTCTATAATTTCATGTTCTATCTTAACGACTCCTGTTACTTTGTTTATAATGCAGATGGTTTAATGTGATTTTTTGTGTTTTTTGCACAAGAGCGCCTTGAGCATTTGATTTCAATCATATTTGACACTGTATAAATCTCATTATTATCATTATTATAAAATATGAACATTTTCCTTCACTTGGGAGCTAGTCCATATATTCTGCCACACTATTATTCAATCTTGATAACCATTTCTGCAAATTAGAAGCAAAAAAAAAACCATATCACGGAACAATAACTGGAACTTGCATTAAATCCAACAATACGTAGCTTGCCTAAAACATTGCTCCAACAGTTTTCTGATTACCATAGGACATTTGCATAATCAGATTACCTACAATGAAACCTAACCCCAAAAAAGTACTTTAGTTATTCTGAGATTTATTGCATTCTGCCTATTAATTTACAATATTCTCCAGCAAAGTTATGAGAAATGTCTGAAGCAAAATATTCTTAGGGCAATGGAGAGTTTCTCCGCTCGACATGTGCATCTCCATTTTCTTGACAACGTGACGTACTAAACAAAGTCGGTTATCAAGTAAATGTATTCAAATTTATGGATACTTCCTTCTCACATGGGTTCAGTGATGAAATATTTCATTGGCCTGCTCTTATCTTTTGTACAATTGTCAGAACGCAAATTGCATGATTAAGTTGTTGCTTTCTTGGGATGACAGTTTCACATGAATTAAAAAGATTTTTGAACTGCTATATTTTAATAGATTGTACAGTGCGTCCCAGAAAAAACGAAACCGAGAACTATCAATGTTTTATCATAACTTAATCACACTTAAAATTAATAAATGACACATATTTGGAAAGCTTACATCCTCCTCTTTCATTTGATGCAACTCCTATGGTGCATATTTCACGCATGAGTGATTAAAAGCAATTTGAAGAGAGGAAACCAAAAAGTCATTTGGCGGGCAGTATCTGAATTTTAAAGGCACACTGCCATACTTGTAGCTACTTGCTCCCTCTATATAGAAAATTCCCCAATCGGTGCCTGTTGGTCCCCCATTATCCTCTTTTTCTTATGTTAAATGAGAGCTGAGTTAATGAGATAACCACCTGTCACATCGACCTCGCTGGCTCGCTGTGTGGTCTAATCCCTTCTTGCCCAGTAGTGGTGACGGTCTTTAAAGGGAAAATCACATTTCTAGAAAGTTCAATTTCTGCCCTTTCATATGACACCTCCATCAGGAAAAATGAACCAGGAATAACAGGAATAACAGGTGTCATATGAAAGGGTAGAAATTGAACTTTCTAGAAATGTGATTTACCCTTTAAAATTCAGATACCGTCCGCCAAATGACTTTTTGGTTTCCTCTCTTCAAATTGCTTTTAATCACTCATGCGTGAAATATGCATCATGTGAAATGCATCGAATGAAAGAGGAGGATCTAAGCTTTCCCAATTTGTTTCATTTATTAATTATAATTGTGATTAAGTTATGATAAAACATCGATAGTTCTCGGTTTCGTTTTTTCTGGGACGCACTGTATAGTAACTTTGTTCCTATTATTTATTTTTTTCCAAATATTATTTTTACCGCCTCTGCTATGATTTTCCCTCATTGAAAATGATAGGTTTTGTTAATGAATTAAAATGTCTCTATAACTACAGCTTGTGTTTGATACATGTACAAGTTCGCCTGGTGTGTCACGTTATAGAAAGGCAGCGCCTATGTCATGCTAAAATATGATACATCATGCCAAAAATATACTCTTTAATATATTCCTTGTACATTTTCAGATGGAATATCGTAGATCAATAGGCATGAATAAAGGTCATCTTTCAGTATACCAACACTTATCCTTTGGGATGATGTTTCCAAAAACAAATGAAAAAAATCTTTAAAAATGTATCTAATGATTTATTTCCTAGCTCTGAATCTCTCGCTTAACTATGATAATTTGGGCAGAATGTCATACAAATATAGTTTCATGTTTCATAATAAAGGTTATTGGCATAAAAGTTTGGTCCACACAAATGTACAAACCTCTAACAAGTAAAAAAAAATACATGCAAAGCACTAAATATAGCTTCAATGAAAGTACTGAAGATAATTCATCAACACCTGCTTAATCATTCTACAATATAAATTACAAACATGCTACTAGTACCTTGACTGATGATAGCAACCTTTAACTACATTTATGTAAGGCTGGAGATACTGTAATATTTTTTTTAAATGTTGCTTTGTTGATCATTGAGCTGTATGCAAATGCATATTCTTCCAGGTAATTATTATGTCATCCGCTTCATTGGCAGTTGGTACATGTAACTTGTACAATTTTCTAATGCCATTGCGACAATAACATGAATTTCATAAACATGCAGCAGCATATGCAGCAAGGTGCGATAAAACTAAACATAAAACATGTCGACCATGCTGTATAATGAGCTTAGATGAATTCCTAAAAAATAAGTAACAGAATCACATCGAGAATGCGAAAAAAAATTGATTGTAAAAAGAGGGCTAATGATAGTTCTATTACCGTTGCTCCAGTGACAAATGCTTCGACAGTCAATTTCTATTAGAAAATTCCCTAAATTCCAACCAAATTACAATCACACCGAACCCTAAACCCAATGTCTTTGATGAAATAAAGATTTGAATTGAGCACATGTCACCCAAGCATGTGTCAGATTACACTTTGATGCAAGTGGATTTCAAATTTACATGCATGTTTACATGTAAAGAATAAGTCTAATCAAGCTTACTAATTATACATGCATGGACAAGGCTGTAAGTGTTTTTTCTGGTATCTATACATGTGGGGAAGATTGTATAACATATACAACAACAAAAAACAGATTAACACGTGTTGGATATGTGGCTCCCTATGTTTAAACAAGAATTGTGCCATACACCCAGATTTCTCACAGTGCTTAATTGACACTGTTAACTTCTGAGTCTCAAACTATTATATGCTTAGTATAATATAATCAATAAATATAATCACTAGTAAATAGTAAATACTTGCTATAAAGCATAAACTTTTACTTCTGAGTGTCCAACTGTTTTATGATTAATATGATATACTCAATAAATATTATGTACAGTACATAGGTTACATATTACTTGCCATGGAACATAAAGAGAATAATGGGATTCACACAAGTTAATAATGAGTTTATTTATCTAAAATGTACTTGATTACATCATCAGGTCTATTGCTACGAGCATATTAACCCATATAGCAGTAGGTCTACTTGTCTAATGACATTTAACTACTTCTAAAAAAATGACCTAATATCTAACATTGGAGCGTTGAAAAATTGAATTTATAATCATCCCATTTTCAATGATAAGGGGAAAAACCAATATCACATGCCTTTCAACCTAATATAGAAGACAATCTTCAAACATTGAAGTATGTGAATATTCCAGTTACCGTGATATGCCTGTGATGTGCCTACTCAGGCACAGGCTTTATAAGATGTATATGATGAAAGTACTATATTATCTGCAAACTTGCCTCTTCAATACTGTCAAACATGTCCATAAAAGCCATCCAAGGGATAAAGAAAAAGAGCCCGAGAATGTAGACAGGCGGCCATGAAGACTGGTTTGACTGTAGCTTGAATGTAAAGTTTCTTTCAATAGTGGTTTATCAACACAACATACATTGATGGTAATGGTGGAATACATAATCACACATAGTCCCCATCCGGCGGAATGATCTTTGTTTCTGGTACAACAAGGGTCATGGGAGGTTTTGAGTCACCCTGCTGATGTGCCCCTAAGACACTGTCACGGGGACGGTCATTCATAGGAGGTGGCACCCATTCCCCATCAATGTACTTCATCTTGGTGTTACGGCTGTTGCGCTGACGGGACTTCTGCACTTCTCTGTCATCATGGGTCTAATTAAGAATGACAAAAAAAGTAGTGCCAAAACTTTGAGTATGACCTTTAAAACTGAAAAATTGTCTCCTCTATGAAAATGGATGTAATTAGAATTTTAAAATGAGGGAAAAGCCAAAGGTTGTGGACTATTGACAAAACACTTTTTAAACATTTCTTATAAAAAGAAGGATTCAAGATTTACAGTTTTTATGTAACAATGCAGATTAAGAGTACATCATGTCTTCAAAATACATATATTGAAGATCAATTTATATATTATGACTGCGTGACCTTCATGACTACATTGATTGAGCCTGACCTCTGTTGATGACCTTACCTCTCTCTCTGTTTGCTGTACCATGGCTCTGCCAGGAAGGCCTTCCCATACAGGTTGAGAGTACATAAGTTGCATGCTATGCCGCACTTCAGGGGATAAGGATTGCTCCAGAACCAGGACCACTTTCGCCCACTAAAGACAAAGAAATAAATATCTTAACAAGTTTAATAGAAGGAAATATATTTACTAAACTAAGAACAAAACAGCAATGAAAGAAATAATTTGAAAAGGGCAACAGGAAAGAGTTTCTTTAATGAAAGTTTACTAAGAAATAACAATTGTGGTAGTATTGGTGTCTACACAATAAGATCATTGATATATCCTACCACATCCTGGATACTTTTGCAAAACAGATCTAAAATTCAAGCTTCTAAAACTGTCAAATTTCTAAGATATATTTAGAAAAAGAAGAACAGATTCCTTCACCATGATTTCCATTTAAGAATTAAAGTAGGCCTACCGGTAAACTAATTTGATATTGATTTGAGGCAAAATGAACATAGTTATGAAAATCTCACCGCAATTGGACTCTGTTTACCATCCTTTTCTTGACTCGAACTATACTACTGTGTTGTTGTTTTTGTTTTGTTTTTTCCCTCTTTATTTTCCCTCATTTACCTCTAGATAATAACACAAGCTTCATAGTTAGGCAATTACCTGTCTCTGCCACTCATAGTCTGCATTAGCTATGGTACTGAATGTGTTCCCCATCATGGCAATCAGCATGTTAACCAGAAGCAGTGTCACAAGCACCATGTACACAAAGAACAAGAACTGGATAATGAGAGACACAGAGAAATCATCATTTCTTTGTTAGATTTGTGTAATTTGTTTGAATTGTAAAATTAATGTGATGTAATAGAGACATTTTCATATATATATATATATATATATATCAATGATGAAGAAGACAAGTTTCATGCTTCAAGTTTTTATCAATTTATGATGACAAATATCATGAACAATAATTTTAGCTTTTCTAAGGCAACGCACAAATAGTGTTAAAGGTAAAGACCAGTATTGGAAACGCCCCAATTTCAAAAAATGAAATGGAAGCTCTCATTACCAATCATGTGAAAGAATATGTCTTGACTAATACATGATGATAAAAAATTTGCAGGGAAACCGCCTACTAATTCATATATTTGGTAAATTTGTTTCTCTCATGGTCTGTGAGAGATATAGGGTAGTCCCATATACATCTTTCTGTGTATAGTGCTTGTAACTTTACGAAGAATGGGCCAAATTTCTTATCATTTTGATGATTCCAGAACCTTGCAGATGCTAGATGCTAGATGATCAACCTTTTCTGATCGATTCCACAACGTTTCTTTCACAATGCAATCGCATGACCATAACTGGTCTTTACCTTTAATACAAGTAAGTAACCAGGCATTTTACCTTGGAAACGCTTTACAAGCTCAGAGGAATATCTTGGTGAAAAGTTTGAGCAATTAAGTAAAGAAAATGTGCTTTACTAAAAATGTTGAGAAGCACCTGTAAAATTACTAGGTGCAAAGCCTAGGTAACATTACAAATATATTGGTGTTAAGTTTGAATACGTAGCAGAGACGTCACAATTAAGCAAAGAAATGTATTTCAATGAAAATGCTGAGCAATGCCTGCAAAGTATACCAGGCGCGCATTGTGTAGGAAATACTACAGATATCTACCGTAGAGTCTGAAAACAAAACAAGCATCCCTGAGTAATGAAACACCTGAAAAGTAACCATTTTTACTTTACTAAACAATTGATATAATGAAGGTATACATTTTCCACTCTCCATCTAGGTTTCGTATGGGTACCTGGTAGAAAGTAATTTCTTGATGCTTTTAATGATTTTAGTGCCTTATGGCAGCTGGGTTAAAGCCATGATACTAATAACTACTTTGAAGGCGCCTTGAGCATCCCTGAAAAGGGTATGAGCAAAATATAAATTGTAGCAATATTATACAAATAATGAATGGTTATGAGTTCAATAGTGCGAACATTCTATTCAACGAGGCGTCAGCCAAGTTGAATAGAATTAACGTTAATCTTTCAACGAATGTAAACATTCGCACTATATTGAACGAATGAAAAACATTCATTATTTGTTTTATACTACGGTACATCAAAGAAGATCTAATAGAATGTTAATCAACAAACTATGCTTTACTCCTTATATTAAAGATAAATTAAAGTTGGAGTCAATCCTTCTCGATAACATTCAGATTGCCTTTGCGTCAGATACACGCAGGGATACGCGCACGGCAGAGAGGTACGCAGTCTGCATATAACCAAAAATGCACAGCGAATATAACCAAAAGTGCATGCCCGTGCAATAGAACATCTATTGAATATCATGTGACCAACAATCCTCGAATCAAATGACAAGGATCCACGTAGGTGTTGTATAAATCATTATAATCAGCAATCAGATCTAAATTACTTGTTAAAGAGGTAAATAGGGCTTTTAGCCTACCTTTGCCATGTGCGGGTACCGAGTTTCATCAAACTTTTCATACACGTCTCCAAACTCTCCTAGAGACATGACAAACATGTTGACTGCAGAGTCGATGAAATTAGTTTCAGCACCCACAGAGGATAGAAATACAATGTGCATTGCTATAAACAAAAAGATAAAGAGATAGCTTTCAAGTACCGTTTATCATTGACAATTACAAAATCAAAATCGATCCAAATCATTCTGGGCAGCAGTTTCCAACAACATATTTTTTGAATAATTATTTGTAAAAAATTATGCCACATTTTATGTCATATTTTATTAAACGAAGCAATGTATACCAAAAGACAATAAGACACTCTTTGAATACATGCAATGATAATCTCATGACAAGCAAAATTACTCTTCTAAGATGTTTGAATAAACTTAACATCAATATAACTTCAAGAGATGACAAAAATGGCCATGATCAAACAACATTGCCTAGATATGAGGGGGAAAAAGGACAGATAACAATTTTCGGAACTTACCTTGTGAGAAACCAATGAAGAAGATGAGATAGAGAAGAAGAAACTTAAGCAGATCTCCTTGAATCATCTTGTAGATCATGAAGATGAATGGACCTACAAGGGCATATACTCTGTTGTAAAAAAAATAATTGAAGTGTCAGTCTGGTATTTCAGAGGTTTCAGTCTCAAGGGTTTGTCTTAATAATAATAATAATAATAACAACAACATTTATAATGCGCACATATCCACTCCAAGAGATGCTCAAGGCACCTAACAAGGTCTTCAGCTTGGAAGATTATGCCTCAGTCTCGGCCTCGGTCTCCATTATAAGACTATAGCCCATCCTATCGAAGTGCATGTCTAATAACTACAACAGGAAACATAAGCATCGTGAAAACCTTGATGAACAACTGTTGATCACAAATAGTGAACTCTATTTCCAAATGGAAATTCATAAGGCATCCTTCCTTTTCTTTCTTTTTGTTTTGCACCACATTGCATCATTATATACAAGTTTCAGTCCCTGACAGGAAGGCAAAAGACAGAAGATTGCAATTTATACTTTCATTCATTATGGGCAAATTCAACTCTTCCAGTTTACTTTAAAACCAAACATACTTGATAAAATGGTATCTTTATGATCTGATCTCTCTTTCTCTCTTGAAATTGAATGAGAATTTCTCTACAGTCTGTATGTATATCCTATTGTGGTGAAAGTTAGAGTTTTCAGAGTTAGTTTTCACACATCTGACTGATCCTATTTCTTAAAGGGCAATTCTTACACATGTGCAAGTTTAATTTTTAAAAAGAGAACAATTATTTTTCATAAACAGTAAAATTTTCATGAAAATCGGATGAAAAATACAAAAATTTAACATTTAGCATCCTTTAGCGAAACATTGATACATAGGTTGTGTACAGATTAGCAAGTTGATGATGTCATCTCCTCACTTTTCCCCATACATTTTGTTTATGAAATTTCTATTTTTTTATTATTTTTTATATACACACCTGTATACATTTTATCCTTCCTATTACAATAAGTTACAGTAATGGTGATTTTGCACATATTCAGTGAGGATTTAATCCATGTTTTATATTCCCAGAGCAGAAAAGTGAAATTTTGGTAAAATGTATGTATAAAATGGATAGAAGTAGGGGGATGACATCATCAAATCGCTAATTTGCATACAGTCTATATGATCCATATCACTGTTTCATGAAATTTATGAAAAACTTTAAAATTCCATACCTTTCTTATTTTTCGTCCGATTTTGATGATTTTTATTTTTCTCTATTTATTCAAGTAAACTTTCAAATGGGCAGGACTTTCTCTTTAAGGGTTGTTTCAATAGACCAATGGGCCATCGGCCCGATGTAAAGAGTTGCTGTGAAGCGTAAATCTGGTCTCACTTTGAGAGTTTAGACACATACCTCAAGAAGAAGAGGAAGTAAGGGCATGCTGTAAGCACACACAGGATGATAAGAACATCTTCATAGTAGGGAGCACAGGGAGGAATCCGCCCAAAGCATGCCAGGATCACAAAGAAGCAAGATAAGAGGAACATGGCCTTGGCTGGGGCATTACGCTGTAAAAAAAAAACAATCCATCAATAATAATAATTATAAATGAAGCAACATGAATTCCTCATGAAAAAGGAAGAATTTACAAGCCAGGTTATTTTAACAATTACATAGTAAATTCTGTGATCAAGCGATGTACTCAATATCTCTGAGACTCCTCTTATCTTTTAATCCTACATATGTGATAGAATCAATAGAATAGGCCTACCATAATTATATGTAATGGTGAAGAAAAAAATGTAAATGTATAAGGATATTAGGCACAATAATCATAACAGATTTCTGTGATTTTGATTAAATAGCAGATCTCTTGGTAATTCAACTTTATTTACTTTTCAATCAACAATATCCCTACAGAGGACAGTTTTACAAGAATACATTTTACTTTGCAGATAACTGGCATTATTGTATTCCATACTATCTCATTTATTGAAAAACTGTGGTATTATTACAGAAATAATCACTCTCACCATAGCCTTTGAGTGATTCAAATTTTGATGTATGATGAAAGAACTGAATGTTAATTATTTTACTCTTTCAAAAGTTTGAGGAAATATTGAGAAAATAAAATACTCCTTCATCTGTTTATACTTGTACATCTGGGCAAGGAAAAGGACTCTAAAGAATTCTTGCTTGTTACTACGTGAGAATAAAAATAAGAGAACCTCACCAGTACATTCCAATAGAGCTTTTTAAGATGATGGAGCTCTCTAGCTGCAAAGTAAAGGAACATGATAGCTCCAAAGACAGTCATGCACTCAAATGCTAGACGACACTGAAAGATAAATAAATCAGACAGTTGAGTCTGTATACTTCCTTCTCGCTCAAATGTAGTACATGTTTCTACTAAGCTTCAATGATTACAATTATTATTTCATACGTCTAAAAAATAATTACATTTTATAAAGGGATAGGTTATAGTCATGATATCACATTTCTGCTCCCTCAACTGCAAATTAGAGTGACACCAATCACCAACAAATATTTCAATCTGTATGTGAATGGTTCGATGTCCCAACATTAGCAAAGCGAGCCAGCAAAAATTTAAAGATTTTTGAGGTCACATTGCGACCAAATAGTTCTCATTACATGAAATTACCGATTTTGATGGGGTTTTCGAGGAAATTTGAGAAAGATTGCTCTCAGTCGCTATAAATTAGGGGCATATTATTAGGGAGCTAGGCTATGAGAAATCTATTGTTTTGGGGGAGATGAGGGGTGATAACAACATCTTGTAGAGGTGTTGTAGTCTAGTGGATAAGTCGCCCGACTGCAGATCACAAGGTACGGGCTCGAGTCCCGCCGTGGCACTAATAAGTAATGTCCTTGGGCAAGACGTTAATCTACATTTGCTACTCTCCACCCAGGTGTAAATTAATGGGTACCTGATATGCTTGAGTGGTTCTTTCTTTAGCAGCTTGGCTACAACCAGGGTAATAAAATATATACAGCGTCATGAGCCTGGCAGATACCAGCGCTATATGAATATCCATATTATTATTATCATTATAGCACGTAGGTATTGTCTTTTTAATATGAATGCATTGGTGCATCATGTAGGATATATTTTATTGGTTTATCACATGCATGATAAATGGAATCTTCTTCTGATGTCAGATTGTATGTAAGTATGATCTTTAAGACTTACCTTGTCTTGGGTTGTGTCTGAATAGAGCAGATAACACCTATTCCACTTATGCACAACCGTAGTGTTTCCAAACGAATCAGTGACATTGATATCTCTAGCATTACGGTCCTGGCATAATACAATGAAAGGTATAGCTTGGTTTATACATACATTCTCAAACTCATCACACCAATTTCCCATTTCTTGAACAGGAATGTAATTTTCATCTTTTATCATATTTTTCATCTTTCTATCAATCATTCTTTTTTTCCTTTTTATTTGGGGGGAGGAGGGAAGATTGGGAGTTTAATATCACCTTATAACTTTTAACTACACATTTGTCCCCATATCTTTAATGTTTACTTGCTGATACACACATATTCTATGACCTTGACCTTTGTCCTTATCCCATAATCTAATCACTTCATCTCACTATGATGATGATGCACCAAGTTTGAGGAATGAAGGGCAATCAAACCCATGTAATGAGTTCATTTGTATGGTACGTTATTAGCACACAAAAGTAAGACAAACGGAATGGTGAAAGTTTGAAATAAATCAGACCAATAATAAGAAAGTTATAAATCAAATCAAATCAAATCAAATCAATTCTTTTTAATATGAGATCACCAAGTCTATCTCAAATCGGCTGTTTGGTCACTGGATTGTGATGTAGACTTGGATATTTCTCCAGTTTGTTGTATAAAAAAATATCTGAATATACTGAAAATATATTATGTATATCATATTATAATAGGTCCTCTAAAGAAAACAGACCCTCCAGAGACATGACCTAAGCTTTTTTTTTCTCTATATTTCTAGTACAACTTCATGTACATGAACTGTCTTACTCATTTGTTACTGATGATAATTATTAATATATTAATATTAAAACAAATATGATTTGGACAGCTATAAAGCTAACTTCCTCATCTCTAAATACTCATAAACAACACAAGCATACATAACTGAAAGTGTTCTTGTTATAGACATTCCCAAATTACACATACCTTTCCAGGGCGCAGATAGAATGCTGTTGTCAGCAGTATCAAGTAGAATATAAAGAGCCCCATGCGCAGGTAGAATTGAAACCGTCCAAATGTCTTCCATTTTTCGTGAAGCAGTTTAGTCATCAGACCCTTCATTAAGCCCAGATGATCAATGTCCGACTAGGAATGAGAGACATGGAATGATTTCATTTCATTGATATGTGCATACTTACGAGTCTTTCACAATTTTAAAGTGTAATGATGGTAAGTGAATATTTCTATGGGGTTCTATTTTTGAAGGGGTTATAGACACTTGTTCAAATAATTTGCTAATTGATGAAATTTGCAAGGCCTTTATTAAAGGATAAAATGGAGAAAGCCTGCTCGCCATTTCAATATGAAAACAAGACAATCGCTAAACGTTGTCTTGCCTGCATCTCTTGATGTACGTGAGAATGCAATACTTAATGGGGCACAAACCATATCTAATCCACACAGTTAAGTGACATATCCGCTAGATCGACCACTTGAGTTCTACAGCAAATGTAGAAAATGGGGTGTAGTTTGATTTCAACTTACTTAACCCTCATATGGCCAGGGGGCCGTTATGGCCCCCCCCCCCCTCCGCAATTTTTCTGATTGTTTGGGAACGCATATGGATGCCGGATGGCGCCCCGCTGCTCGCTGACTTTTTTCTTTTGAGTCTTGCGCATCGGGGGTTATAGTTACAAAGTCACATGACCTTTAGTCTTTGCATGTCAGCCCGAAAATCGCTCATTTTGATTTGTGTACAAAACATATGGAAATGTCATTTTTCCTAAAAAGAGAAAAAACATTGGTTATTGGATCTTGTTTAAAGTTTAGATGTTTATTTTGGGAGTCAAAACAGTTGAATAGTAGTTAGAAGGAAAAAAAGAAGAACAAAACAATAAAATACAAAAGTTGAAAAAACAATGAAATACATAAGAAATTATCAAAACAATAGATAACATAAGGAATAACCTAACTCTTCCAAATTTTGTGTCTTATTATTGTTTCAAATGGTCTAACGAATACATGTTGAGAAAAAGAATGCTGAAATATAAAGAATATTTGATTTATGGGTAAAAAGGTGAATGTTATTACCTTATTTGCATAAATTACCATAAATATGCAAATAAGTGAATTTTTCAAAAAATTAAATTACCATAGTATTCTATAAACTTCGCTTAACATGCCTGCAAATTTTCGCGGCAATCACCCGTTTCACGGCCGAGATCTTAGGGGGGAGCCATAATGCCCCCCTCCCAAGACCTCAAATAGCCCGGCCTTTTTAGGGTTAAAGCATGATATAAAAGCATGTTATTATAGTCAGGTGGCTTATGAAATTATCGTTACTTGCCGGATAAAAGCACCATTTTTGGTACAGGACTCCCTGTATTCTATTCACTTCACTTGACATGCGTGCAAATTTTTCGCGGCAATCAGCCGTTTCAAGGCCGAGATCTTAGGGGTGAGCCATAATGCCCCCCCCCCCCCGGCCGTATCAAGACCTCAAATAGTCCCGCCTTTTTAGGGTTAAAGCATGATATAAAAGCATGTTATTAGATGATTCTACCTGATTGACGATAGTGAATAGAGCTGACTTCTCATTGACGCTCCCATCAACTCCGATACTGTCCAGGTTGTAGAGAGGATAGAGGGCGCAAGTTACATCACCATATTTCCATGAAACTTGGCGCTCTAGATGAATGATGCTCTCAAAGAATTCAATATCTGCCAGCTCTGCTGCCAAACAGAGAGGAGTGTACCCCTGGTAATTGGTGATGCTGCAACTTGCCCCTAGCTCAAAGGCCTGGGTGAACTGAGCCTGTAAATAAAGGCAAGCATGATGATAGGTGCATATATATCATTGGAATAGTGAAATAGTAATATCAAGGATACATGTACCTTAATGGGGATAACCTTAAATTAAGGATTTATCATATCATCACATTGAAGTGACAAGCTTTGCATCTCAATATACAAGTAATTGTTTGTTTTTTTTTAATCATAATTTTATACCTACTGTTCTATTGTACTGCCTGATTTGAACTCATTTAATTACTCCAAGATATATGCAGTGAACCACTTGTGTGACCCACCAGAGATCTCAGTAAGAGTCAGCCGTTTCAGCAGATTCCATAGAATGTTTGGTGATGCAACGTACTGTTCAAATTTTGCAACTTATATACAATATATATATTAAACCTGATTTTAGCCTTTCAAAGCCTCAATTTATAAAGATAAAGCAACCAATTTTAGACCAAAAAAGCTGACAGGAGTAGAATTAGTGATCTTTATTTTCATTGCGGTTCATTTCTTTCATAAAAACACAAGTTCTTCAATGTGCGATTCTTTATTTCACCTAATATTTAATTGTCTCCTTTGTCAGATGAAAACTACATTTGTATGAAAGTGGAGGTGAAATAACGTAGATGTTTGAGATGAGGTCTTTGGCTTATATAACGGCCTCCTCATATTCGACTAGACTTTCTTTAACAAATTATCTAGCATTTTATCCCCCTATGAAAGTAGAGATATTCTTGTTTTGTCTGTATGTACAAATAGGAATGCATGTAAATATATATGACTGATAAGTTGACCAATCAACAATCAATCTACCGGTATTTAGACCTATTTATCAATCTATAAATCATCTGAGACTATTACATGTAAATGAAATGCGGGAGAACATCCAAGTGTGTATATTTACACAATGTACACAGAACTATATACTGAATGTAAAAAGACATTGAAAGGAAGACAAGTCCCACAAAAATGGAAGTGGTAATGAATGATGTTCTTTTTTTGGCTCTTTGTTTTACCCTCTTCTTGTGAAGTATTGTCATATGAAGGATAGTGTTTCCATTGCAGTCCTGTGCATTCACATCAGCTCCCTTGCTCCAAAGGTAACGTAAGATGTCTTCTTGCTCCAAACATGCTGCAAAGCTCAGAGGATACTCACCAAAATAGGTGTGTCTAGGGAATCAACAGGAGAGAAGAATTAGGTAACAGCTAGTGTGTTGGTAATGTTGGGATATTTTTATTTAAAGTTAATAAGAGACAGCAGATACCTGCGGCCCAAAAATATTAAAAGTCGCACAGTTCTATCTATCTATCTATCTGAGTATCTTCTCCCGGTTCGGAGGTTGATTGCAACATCTCTCCATTTCACTCTATCATCTGCCATTCTGGCGTACTCTTCCAGTTTTAGTCCACTCCAGTTCTTGACATTCTCTTCCCAGTTGATTCTGAGTTTCCCTCTAGGTCTCCCTCCCTCTAGGTCTACTTCGCACAGTTCATACAGGCTAATTTCCATTTTTGTGGACAGATCAATATGTTAAAAAATGTTGTGTGCATGATTTCATACATAAAACATTTTTTAACATGAGCAAATAGCCAATCACCAAATAGTAATTGATGAATGGTGAAGTCAATATATAGTTCAAATTGTGCCTGTTTTCTTCTTTTGTCTTTGCTTACTGTCCCTACAGTAAATCAAGATTTGACTTTTGAAATAATCTAAATATTATGTATTTCTATGAGTCAAAAAAGATTTGATTTGTGTAAGGTAGACTGTATTGGCTTATCAGATACAATAAAACATAGGGCCTGTTGTATCAGTGAGTGTAAATTCTATAATACAAGTAATACTGAATTAAGATGTTATACATGGTACATTGCAAAAATCCTGTTGTATAATTCATACCCATGATAGTTTGTTTTGTTATCCACGACAATAACTTCATGGTCATAGGTGTCCTTCCTGGTGTTCTTTTGATCATCAGGCAGAAAGAAAGTGCCACAAGCCCTCTCATCAATGTTGGCACCATTCTCAACCAGGAACTTGACCATGGTAAAGTCTTCATTGACGATGGCAAAGTGAAGACAGCTCTCACCTATCACAAGAAAGCATTTCAATTTAAATAACAACTCAGTTATCTTCATACAGAGGCCTACATGTTTGCACTAAGTTCACTGTCAATCAATCCTATCACCTGTATTTAATCTTGAAGCATAATTATTTACCAGGGAGGGGTAAAGTACGTGTATTACTATGACAATCAGTGCTTTCATCTGGGTATATCTGATTATGAAATGCAGGGGTACTGGCCTCTCCACAGGTTAATGCATAGGATAGTTGAAATGTGAGGTACTACATACAAGTTCTTCTGTGCTGACCTCAGACTTCTCACTGACCGGTATTTTGCAAGGAGGTCTGAGAGATTTGTTGGAGCTATTTCACGAAAACACTGATACACAAGTAACAAGATCTTAAAGGGATCCGGTAACTTTGTCTCAGAATCTGAAACAAAATCCTGGATTTAGCTCATGCTGCAATGATAATTATAAACCTTTAGGTCAGTCAGGAACTCCATGACTTTTACAAGCCGATCGCCTGTCTGATTATCAACAAATTTATGATTGGAAATCGAAACCAAATTTTGCGTTTGCCAAACGATTTCATAACACTACAGTCTATTGGGGAAACGAGTACATGTATGGTAAAACCGGTCACTCCAAGATTTTTACTTTTTTGAGGCACTTCTTGATCATTTTGAAGCACATTTTTTTTTAGGGCTTCAATATTACACCATACCGCAGACACTAGTAGCACGTAGGGCCAAGCATCTTAGATTAAACATTGTTAAACGATGCCTTTAAACTCAATTCGTGATCGGATAGGCAACCAATGCAAGACCTGTAATATAGGTGGCCCGTAATATAAGGGAAATAACAAGTATTACCTTGGTAGAGGTCTGTGTGAAAGATGTCATTAACAAGGAGAGGATATTCTTTGATGATTCTCTTAGCAAGCTCACTATGAAGCTCAGTAGCATTAAGGAAACAGAGATGGAGGATGGTCTCTCCAACAGCTCCTCGCTGGTCTAGGTCCCAGCAAACTTTCCGTATTGCGCCTGCAAAATAGTGAAATTTCCAGGCAAGATAATAAAATGTTCTTATAATTGGTGGGGCTTCTTTATAGCCAAACTAAGCTGTGCTTTATATTTGCAAGGATCACGACTCATTTGTTAACAGAAACTCCTTTAACAATTTGGCAGCAAATTACCCTCAGAACCTGTACTATCTATTTAAGTGCGTTTTTCACATTTTATTCGTTTGTAGCGTAGCAATTGCCGATTGGTACAGCCCATGTGCAGCAGGCCCAGCAGTGAAAGAGAAACAATGTTTAAACATATTATACACAGAATGAATCAGATGATAAAATGATTTGGGCTGTCAAAGAATTTGCATATACGACAGCAAAGACCCATGGTTTTAAACAATATAACACCTGTATTTCTGTGATATTAATAGAGAATGGATTTGAGAAAAAAATATATGCCCGGGTATTAAAACATGACAAACAGGAATATTTACAAATTATCCAATTTGAAATAATCATCATCATAATACAAAAAAATATATTTTCCAGTTCATTATCTGCACTTCGATAGGCCTACTTATGGGGCTTTCACATATACACCCCGGGGCCCGTACGGCGAGTAAAAACAGACATTTTTAGTATTTTCGGCCAGTTACCCGCCGGCTGCCGTAAAGTTCGTACGGACGCCGGGACAGTTTTTTAAGCCGTACGGGCGCCAAGCCTGGTGCTGAGTTGGCTGTTCCCAATTCTCCTGGCACTTTTATCTGACCGTTAGGCCATAGAATTAGAAAGCCCGTAAAGGGCCCATAGGGCACCTTAAGGGCCCCGTGCGGGCTCCGGACGGTGCCCGGAAAGGCCCTTTACAATTTTTTTTTGGTCAATTCTCATGAAATACTTTTATGGGCGCCTTGCAGTGCTCAAGGGTTCTGATGTGTGCCTTACGGCTCCCTCACGGGCCCCGCAAGAGCCCCGGGTGATATGCACAACAACAGGCGTCTGCCGTCCGGGGGCCATTTGAAATGAATATTGCCTGTGCGTGTCCCTCACGGACGCATCTCAAAATGTACAACGCAGCTTTAAATACAGGAGGTGCGGATGCCAGAGGATACATAGTTCAGTGCACTGCCCGGCACCCAGCTGGGCGCCTTGAGGACCCCTCCGGGCCCTGGCAGAGCACCTTCTCGGAGCCATGGGTGTACCTGCTCATCGGACGGAGCCCATTAGCTTACCGGCCGCACTCGGTCGGCACCCTGCCGTCACCAATTTTCACCGGGCGCCACAGAATATGTGACCCCACATGCCGTAGAAATGAAAATCGGAAGGTTCCCGTACGGTCTCTAAATCCATGGTAAGCCGCCGTGTAGGGGAAATCATACGGGATCCGGTTTATATGTGACCTAGGCATTAGTTGAACATTACGATGGCTAGTTCCATTAACATATATTGCCAGTTATCCTGTTACAGGTATGTATACATTTCCAAACAATTTTAAATTTACTGCAATAACATTATTACACTGTAGATTAAGGTTGATTATCATTTGCCCTTTTAATATCTTTTTTTAACATAATTACATGCATGCAGGCTGCATCTTACCAGCTTTCACAGGACTGATGGTGTTGGCACTGTGCTGCCTTGACGCTGCTCCAATGATTTCAACCTTCTCCGTTCTGCTCTGGTTCCTACGGTTAACCAGTTCCTTGATTGAGATATCTTTGCCTTGTCCATGATTGTACAGGAATCTCTTCACCTGTAATAGAAGAATGATAGAATGTACAGTCAATAATATATATTAACCCTTATAAGCTCAGTGCCAGCAAAACTACTGTAGGGTGGCCTATACGGCTAAGGCATGGTGAAGGCAAGGCGGGTCTCTAACTTACAGAGAACAACAAACACACACATCTTCACTCCATGCTTGCATGTGGGGAATTGCCGTGCCTTCGCCATGCCTTAGCCGTATAGGCCACGCTACAAACTGGTGGCAGCGGCGTGCGTTGTGGCGTTGTGGTGTTGAGGCGTGCGCCTGTAATCCAGCTAACAGTGGAAGTTACTAACTGATTCAGTCGAGGACGCAGGTTCGAAACTGAGTCACATCTTTCGGATGGTGACGTTAAAAGTCGGTCCCCAGACGTAAATAATCATTTCTGATTGACACACGTCTGTAAAAACCCAATTACACACATGGTGGCAGCGGTGGGATATTGCATGCTTGCAACCCGAGGGTTTATTTGCATATATCTACATGGATTTCTATGTACACTGTACGACAACTGTAACTAATAAATATGCAAATAACAGAGCTTGTAAATAAAAGGAGGTACATGAATATCAATAGATTTCATACATATTCTACAGAACAATGTCCTGTTCAAATATAGCTCTACACTACAAAATAGAAAGTAAGGTAAATCTACAATCTCTCCCAAACTGCCTATATCACTCGTGTATCAAATGAAGAGCTAAAACAAGAACCGAAAATGGACTATAGAATAATAAAATCAGTTATGTGTGCAACACACTCTGATCTGCACAATACAATCAGCAATTTAGTGCATCCATTACTGTACGTACTATCATGCTACCAATGAGAGTTTACAAGGTTTTGGCAAAGCTACAGTGGATGAGTGCTGTGCATGTACACATATTTGGTATTTCTAAGTGAAAGAGTGGACATAATTTTGGCAGCTCAGGGTTTAATATTCTATTCCATACAAATTTTATCCTAGATTACTTTCTGTTGACCAATTTTTTTTTTCTTCTTTCTTCTTCTACTGTTTATCTTCAAAAGGATATGCAGCCTATCAAAAAGATCTGTATGTAGATTACCAGTTGTATATTATGTAGGCACACTGAACACCTAGTTAAAAGTAAAATTCCACCTAGATTTATACTCTTTGCGAGAAGTGTAGCATATTAACAACATGCATAGGTTGTGACTCTCCTTCACACTGGCCCACAGTTACCCCGTTCTGTTTGAGGAACAGAGTGTTTTCACCCTGAACCCGAGCTTGCATCGAGAATGGAAGAGGGACACGCTTACACACTATGCAGCGACAATCATTTATGAATGCATTTTTTACTGCTCAGAGTGGGACTAGAAATCACACACATGCATGACAAGAGTCAGTTTCGAGATGAAGATATTCTAGCCATCTAAGTGTTTGTGTAGAAATCTCTTAACCTGAATATATGTCCTATACTTTAACAGAGCGTCATTTATTTGTAGTTGTTAAGCTGTGGCGCCATTTTGTGCAGCTATGTCCAGCTTGGTGTTTGGTATTACTCTACCATTCGAGTTTCTCCCCTATAGTCAAAATGAAATAAAAAAATATAAATCTAGAAAAAAAATAGTGATAAAAAGCAGCACAGAAAATATTTGTTTTTGTTCTTTTACTATCTTCAAAACTGAATATATTTTTCATCTATCTTTTGTTCCAAATGCTTAGCCTAAAAATATGTTTTTTAGTTTTTTAGGATATACTATACAAATGTACAGAAAATAGCCCAAAATTGTAAGAATCCTACATTGGTATCACTGTGGTTAAATACTTTGATAGAAACATATTAATTACATGCAGTGGTTGTATTAAAATATATCCACCAATTATGTTTTTTCTGAACATGTTTCTCAATTCATCCTACATCATGTATGATTAATGGAGCATGACTTCTATAGAGCATGGATAATCTACTAGTACATGTAAATTGGTGTGTTAATAATTTGGCATATACCTTTCCAGTTTGATGCTAGATTGGGTTTAAAAGCAATTAGTTAAATAGGATGCTGCGCCTGTATATTAAAGCAATGACAGGCTTTCACAGGAGACCAATTTCTTAGGCTCCACATGCAGTGCATGCTAGCTGTGTTAAAGAAGCAGTGGGTGTTAGCTAGACGTTATTACATGATACAAACCAGTCAATATATTTAGTAGTAAAAGAAACTTAACGGTAATCAAATATAGAAATATTGGTGGTAAGATGGAGAAATGTGATTACCGGTACGTAAAGTCCAAACATTTGATAGAAGGGTTGCTTATAGTTCATTTTTGTTCTTGCTTTTCCCTTGACAAGCCTTTTTGTAAACAGTTGCCACTCTCTACCCTGGTACATGTTTATATCTACATGTATGTATCTACATGATGTCCTTATGTGTAGTCTACCTTGCAAGAAAATAAATTTCCATTTGCTTTCGCACAATAAAGGTGATATAAAAAAATTAGTTACAATTAAAGAGTGCCTATTTTTTGTCAACAGTATTTGAGTTATATCTATCAACTTGTGACATTTCCTTTATAAACTACAAATGAATGTCAACGGAAGAACTAAATTTACCCTATCTACAACCTATCATTACATTTTATGCTAGAAACCAAAGGGAGTTATCTCTTTTGATTTTACATCCTTCTGGTTCTAAACAGAAGATATGCACCTGTTAAGTACCATAGCCCTGGAAGTCCATCTACAACTATAGGTCAGGGTATCAGGGTCAAAGCACTTTATACAACTGTATACAGTCCCCTGCTTGACTGGCTTTGTTTACATGATCTGATAAAGAGCTTCTCAATTAGGAGAAGGTCCTTAAAGGGGAAGTCCGCCCTGATATTAAAATGGTTTTAAAGTGACTTGGTAACATTGTTGAAGGTTGATGAAAAAATTGCTTAGTATTTATATTAAATGTTACTTACTATATTCCTTCTACTGTACTAACCCTCTGACATGCAAAAAATATTGAACAAATTCTGAAACCACAAAGATATACATGGTTTTCTTTGAAGGCATCGATGTACGACACCCTCTAACACTGATTAACAGTAAATTCTCCCAACCATTTTTGAATTTTCCAAACTGTTTTTCCATGAAAAAAAGACATAAAACTGGCTATAAAAAATCTGTGAACACTTAAATGTCTGGAATGGAATGTAGAGCCATTTTATTGGTTTGTGAGATTTCCATTCACCTAAAATGTAATTAAATTGAAATAATATAGTTGGGAGAATTAAGGAATCGATCAGATCAGTTTTTCCCAATTTGTACCATGAATAACAGTCCGTTTTCACTCAAATTTTCAGATTATCTTTAATTGTACATCTAGCATTGAAGTCACTACCTTAGCACCACTATCTCTCATCTGAACAATGTTACCAAGTCTCTTTAATAGAAATTGAAAAAATGAAGACAAAATAACTCAGTGAATGTTTGAGCGAAAATCGATTAAAAATATATAAAAAAGTTATGAATGTTCAAAGATAAGATCAATCAAACGCAAATTTGCAACTCTGTGACATACAAATAACACTCTTGATAGGTGCCCACTGCCCTCCCATTTGTTGATTTTTGCTCTGTTTATAATTTTTTTTTTTTTCTGTTAAGAAAATGTTCAATCTTTCAATCACCATAAATATAATAATTACAAATATATGCTTTTATACAACCCCTGTATGAAACAAATCTATTCCATCATCAATAACTAAGAAAATGAAAGTTTATGAAATGTTTTGTACAGAGCAAATTGGAGAGAGATACTCGCTAATTGCGTCTCAGTGTTGCTAGTACATGTAATTTGTGTTTATCGGATATTGCTCTAACTTTCACTTATTTGTTTTTGTTGTTTTCTGCTTTTATCAAAACCAACTTACTATCAGGCTGTACTTCCTCTTTAAACCTCAGACTTGATTGGTTTATTGGTCCATGATTGGGTAGGCCATGTCAGATGACCGAACATGATAGGCAAATGAAGTACTAGTCTAATACTTCAAGCCAACTTCCATTAAAAACTGTCTACATTTTGTAGTCACAAAACTAGACACACAGCAGTACAGCGCCATAATTAAGACAACGATGTTTATGACAATCACATGGTAGTCAAATGATGAATCGAAAAGCCAAAGTATAATATTACAAATAAAATCTACTGATCTTTGCTTTATAGTTACTTAAACTGATCTAGAAGTTACACTAGAACCAAATATAATTTCAGCTAACACTCGGTAGGAAATACACCTTAGCTTTCTTCATGAAAATACTGGTTATCTTTTAACTACCATGAATACTGCATGCTATCCTGGTGAAAATTATTTGGGTAGCTTTCATCAAAGTATGCACAACATTACCCACAATTTTGTTGTGACGATTAATAACAACAGCTATCAAGAATATTTTCAATAACAAAAGTAAACTATATGATAAAGATAGTCCTTGAAAATAGAAAAAAATGTGAGCATTTTTTGTATCGAATGGCCACTGCAAGCAAAAATTAAAGGTATAGACCAGTTTTGGAAACGCCCCTCCCCCCCCCCCCCCACCCCCCTCTCAAAAAATGAAATGGAAGGTCTTATTACCAATCATGTGAGAGAATATGTTTTGACTAATACGTAATGATACAAATTTTGATACAAACCGCCTACTAATTGATATATTTGGAAAATTATTATATATTTCCGGACAGATATATCGCCCACGAGTTGCATAGTCTCATATTCATCTTTCTGTATACAGTGCTTGTAACTTTACCAAGACTGGGCCAAAATTCTTATAATTTTGATGATTCCAGAATCTTGCAGTACACACCAATGCTTACATGTATATGCTAGATGATCAACCTTTTTTGATCGATTCCACAACGTTTCTTTCACAATCCAATTGCATGACCAGAACTGGTATTTACCTTTAACATTTAATATAGTTTATAACAGTCAACTGAGTAACAATTATACATACAGACAGTGTACATGTATCTTGAAGATATATGTAAGTGTAAGAATCATTAGTATTGATCTACTAGCTTGATCTACTGGCTATATGGCCTACATCCAATTTGCTGTGAGCTAGATTTGTACACCCACTAATGTATTCCTATAAAATTGGGTGCAAGTGACTTTTGACTTACTGCACATAGAAACTGCGGACTATAACCCTAGACAAGTACATGTACTTGCATGCCATAAAACCCATAAGGCACATTTGTGTAGCTGATAGCACTCCACAAAAATAATAATAACATAATTGCACAAGATGCTTACCGATTCACTTCTGAGTTTGTCCTCTAGTGGTTTCCAGTCCTTTGTCTTAATACCCTCCCTGGTGAGTTCAACAAGTTCCCCTCCTCCTTTCAAGTTTACCAGTGAGTACAGTTGGAAGCTGTCCTGACTATTATCATCAACCTGCTTCCGGTTTCCATCATTATCATCAGTTGCAAGCTTTGTTTTCCTTGCTCCCATCCTTTCCTCCTTCTCAATGCATCACTATCGAATAAGATGCTGCTTAAGTCCAAATTGTCCAACTCAGAAAATACAGAATGCAAAGGTTGCTAATATTACTGTGCTTTTTACCAGCCTTCAGCCTTCCCTTCAGAGGTAATTTTCAGCTGTAAATAGATTACAAGGAAATACAGTTACATGTATATATTCAGTAAGGAATATTTCTAAATGACTATTCTATTCCTTGTTTACTTTCACTATATAGATTAGTTTATGTTACATACCGGTATATATACCCAGACTCGACTAGCACTTGTGCTAACTTCTGGTACCCCATTTAACAACAAAAATGTACACATACCCCATGTCCAGACACAACACTTTCCGTGATTAGGGATGATTAGTTATATCGTTGCGGGATAGTTATACTGTTTCGGGAAAGTTATACGATGAAATTGCATGTGTGGACGCTTACTAACGATACGTCGTATAACGAAACGTGGGTTTGGGCATCGTTTCGAACTAGAACTCAATAAAGAATCACGCTTAATCATGCTAATCACAGAAAGTTTTGACTGTGGACGTAACTAGTATAACTGGGCGGGGACCCACCGCAACAGAGACATGTATCAGAGAGTGATTTCAAGAAATAAACTTGATATAAAACAGAATAAAAAAAATATGTTATTATAATTAAACTCACTTTGCAAGATCACTTTGCAGGTATATCTATAAAAAATGGAGAAAAGCGAAATTGGGACCTGGGTATTTTTTGGCGCTCACCAAAGACAGTAGCAAACTGGGCACCTATACGATGTTTCGTTATAGAGTTTCGGGATAACTTTCTCGTGTGTGTGGACGCCCTGGAATTTATACGATGATTCTTTATACAACGTTTCGTTATAGAGTTTCGGGATAACAAATTTTGTGTGTGGACACGCTGATACTCTTTTCTTTCACTATATGTAAAATAATGTTTATGTATAATGTTATTTATCTTGAGTTATATTTTTTTATTTTATGTGATCACGATTGATACATTATGTTTTACTTGTTCTTATTGTTAATAAAACTAAAACTCAATAGAGGGGCTTGATAATTTATCAATTCATATTGATTTAAAAACTGGGAGGAATATATATCGTATTCAAAAAAATGCATGCATCAAATAACTATACGTGTATATAAGTTAAATATTTGGAATAAGACTAACAAAGATTTTCAAAATCTTTAGTGCAAAAATCCAAGATTTCTAAAGCCTAGAAATTTCATGACCCAAAACAAGAAAATGAATGCTTCTTTTATAAAGTCTTTAATATGACTTCAAAATGGAAAAAAAGATGAAGAAAAGAAGGAGAAGAAGAAGAAAAAGATGATGATGATAATGAAGAAGAAGAAAAAGAAGATAATGATGATCATATAGAAGAACAAGAAGAACAAGAAGAAGAACAAGAAGAACAAGAAGAACAAGAAGAAGAAGAGGAAGAAGAGGAAGAAGAAGAAGGAGGAGGAGGAGGAGGAGGAGGAGGAGGAGGAGAAGAAGAAGAAGAAGGAGGAGGAGGAGAAGAAGAAGAAGAAGGAGGAGGAGGAGGAGGTGATGATGATGATGATGATGATGAGTAAAAACAACAAAAAAAAAAAAGAAGGAACAAGAACATAAAAGGAGGACATAAAGAAGTGGAAGATGAAGTAATAGAAAAAACAAGATGAAACAACAAGAGGTAAAAGAATGAAAACTAAATTAAAATAAGTATTTTTTTGAAGGAAAAGTGAAGAATAAAAATAAAGGATGAAAATATTGATGACAATATTGATGAGAAGAAATTAATACAATAATGATAATTATGATGACAATATTAAAAAATAATAATGATATTAGATATTGAAAAATGATAATAGTAGTAATAATAATATTAGGCCTAATAACATAACAAAAACAATTACAATATCAAGAATCATAATGATAATAATAGTTATAATAATAATAACAATATATGATAATGATAATAATGATGATAATACTATTAAATATAGTATTTACATATCATAAAAAAACATAGCTGGAGTGAAGACGGTTTTGGTATTCAAGGTATTCAAGGTATTAATTTGGATGCACAGATACAGCATGTGTAAGATTGATAATATATGGATTATACTCAGTTCATAAATGTAAAAAAAGAATTATTGGTAGGCTTACCTAAAAATCATATTAATATACACAGATACAAATGTAAAATATTAATGTTGAAGACAGACCTGATTAGGTTTATGCTTTAGCTTTACTAAAATCAATCTGAAACTGAAAGTACTGTGCAGTGTCTACCGTGTATATTTGAAACTACTGAAAGTAATTTTGGCATAATAATAATACACGTTATTTCTCACTCGTCATGTCGGCCTTCACACGTATGGTATTCTTTTAATAATTCTCACCTCTTGTATCAGCGTAGTTAACTCAGTGGTTGTAATATCTCTTTGGTCAGATCCTGTAGAATTAATATCGCGAATTACCTGTTCCACTACCTTCAACAGATGAGACGGCCCGGTCGGTATGTGTACAATGCCTCACCTGAATGAATTGATGTACAATGAATGCACTGGTAATGGTTTGTTCGGTGTTTGAAAGCGACGACTTGTATACCATATGAGCATGGAGCGATCCCGGTAAAGTCAGTCTGAGAAGATTCGCTCTTGCGCAGCGTACAGCGTACACCCCGCTGATTGAATAGATGTAAAGTGAACACAGAGGACCCCTGGCTGGTCAAAGGGGGCTTGACAACGGCATAATCAGCTAGCAACAAGCCTGTGGATAGCAACGCCTGTCCCGTACACACGCCACGCGTATACATAGTCAGAGATAGAATGTTTTGGTAGCGGACGCCGATTTCGCTCTATTATTACTATATTAAAATCGCTTAAATTATAGATATTTTGTTTTCTTGAAGGTGTACCTACTGGAAATCTTGTCAATATGATGAACACAACTATGTCAAACTCCACGACGTGGAATATAAATCGTAGGAGAGACTTTGCAGAACTCAAAGAAGGCACACAAGTACCCGGGTAAGAAAATTATACTAGTGTCTTGTCAAGTAGCTATATGCGGTACAGATAAGCTTAGTACATGAACATGTATATTCTCATTTGGAGATATTAATGAGTATGTCATACATTGTATGTTCCATTGTGCTAACTGACATGATGCAATAACAATATTAATTATATACTGATTATGAGTAACAACATGTTCTAAAGTGTATTTATGTTTTAGTGACGTTATACATATATATAACTATTCGTTATGGGATATTTCACTGTGATTGTGAATAGATTGTGTTATAATCATGATAATGTTTGTCTGAAAATTTCATGCTGCATTTATCAACAGCAAAACAAAACGGTTTGCCCAAGTATAAAAGTATTATGTGTTGGAACTCCAGAATTGCAGTTGTGACCCCAATAAATTATTGTAGTAAAAATGTAAGACATGGATATTGATCTGTATGTATTTACTCTTTTTCCTTCAAAAACATGTTCATGTTTATGTTTACATTCATTCATCACATTTTAGCAGGGGCTGTAAAGCAACTTTCAAAGTGGGGGGAGGCCGGGCACCAATAACAAAAATGATACTTCTGGAAAACAAGAGCACCTAGCTACAAGGGGCAACCTCACCCCGGGGGAGGGGGGTACTCAGATTTAGTTTGGATGGGGGTGTGCTGCTCAAGCCTTGAAACCCTTCCCATTTTTAAGGGTCATTTTTTTTTAAGGAAGGCCCTTTTTTCACAATTTTGGAGTTTTTACACTCAAGATACATGTACTTCTTTAGCATCATACATTGATGATGGTCTGAAGATCTATTTGTGAGCAATGCAAAAACTGTAAGATTAGTGAGGTGGCATTGTGACAAAGTAGCATGTTAAACATGCATTTCACATCAAATTCTGCATTTTAATGAAATACAGGTCAGTGGGTATCACCAGGTGCAGGCGCGTAGCCACGGGGGGGGGGGGGGGGGGGGGGGGGGGGGGCACGTGCCCCCCTAAAATTTCCAAGATCGGTTTAACTTTTTAGACCCCTTTTTTTTTACCTCTATCGATTACATGTATGTGCCCCCAAACGTCGAACTCTGGCTACGCGCCTGGGTAACACACAAGCTGTACTACTCTGACATAATGTATAATGGCAGCTCCACTGGGAGAATAGTGAGCAAGGAAGCTGCAAAATTGCTTTACTTGCTAAATAATCAAATGAGACTAACTTTAAGATTTTTTTAACTGGCTCATAAGCTCTATTAAGGCTATCAGCTAAAGATTATTGGATTTCATTTACCTTTAAAAGAAGGGCAAGAAGCACTTATTAGAAAGGAATGGGTAACATGGGCACTCTTCAAAGTAAAAAAGGTCTCTCATAAGATTTAAATATGGTCACGTATCAGAAGTGAAAAGGGGCACTTATAAGATGGGGGATATGATTGCTTATTAAGAAGAAAAAAAGAGTCATTTATTAGGAGTACACGGGGGCAATTTTTCAAAGTAGAAAGGGAGATTTTAGGGGTACTTGAAAAAGTGGGGTAGCCCCTCCCAATTGAGCACTATCTCTGCAATTTCAACAACTACAATACAACTTAATGGAATATATATATTATATTAATTTCTTTAATCTTGTTGCCTTTACAGCTACTGCGGATACATCGAGCAGTACAAGTACCATGTTGGAGATACATATGGAAATGCAACCAACAGACTGGAGAATGTGAGAGAAATATAAAATTATTTGAATTCATGTTTCATTCTTTTCTTCATGTTTAGTTAATTTCTATTTGGTATTTGATGTTTAATATCACTCTGGAAACAGATATATCCATCATTATTTGAACTATAGATGATTACAATGTAGGTGCCCATATTTATGCCATCCATAGCAGGCAGATCATGTTTTGTGAAAGCGAAAAGTTGGGGAGGGGGGGATGGGGATGATTCTGAAGAAGAAGACAAATTGACAAGGAAAAAAGTTACCACATAGTAGGTCATGACTTAGACAAAAAAGTCTCTGAAAAATTGAAATGGTAAAAAAAATGACAAAACTCCAGTTGATATTCTATTCCCTAAATGATCAAATTTTCTTTTGTTGTTTGTGTCCAGAGACGTGCAAACCGTCATCCCATTATATCATCATGGCCAAACAACTACTTTGATGCCTCCAGCAAACATGTTGGGACTGGGCTGACTGCTGCCACCACGCTAAGTGGGGAGAGAAGGCCTATACAGTTACCAAGATCTAACGGAGACAACAAACTCACAGAGAAGATGGTGCCAGGCTACACAGGTATAACAACCATCTTTATATAAAGACCAGGGGGGGTGTTTCACAAAGTTCCTAAGTAGAACTTAACACTAAGTTGGACTTAACATTTATGGAAAGCCATTTGCATCTATGAAAATATTTTGTAAAAGTTATTTTAAAAGGCATAAAATGGTGATTCAAATCATTCATATTTTCTATTATCATGGAACATGTCATGTTCTTGATGTGGAATTTATGAAAAGTCTAAAATACTTGAAATTTTGCTTTTGAATATATTTCATTATAAGGCTACAAATGGCTATCCATAATATTTAAGTCCAACTTAGAGTTAAGTTCGACTTAGAATCTTTGTGAAACACCCCCCCTGGAGTGGTATTCTGAGATTCAAATTATCTCAGTGATATAAAGTACCCTTAAAATCTTTCTTATATCAGTATTCTGAGAATCATTAGGCCAAATAACAAAAATTAAGTTTTTCTCATCCCCGCCCGCCACCTTTTTTTACTATTTACTATTCAGAAGAAAAACAGCCCCCCCCCCCAAAAAAAAGCCTTAAGTGATACAAATCGTTTGTTTTTGTCAAACATTGCATCAGTATACTCACATAGCACAATATCTGTGAATAAATACTGGTAGGCTTGGCTAGCTATAACAAATTGCAAAATAGTAAATAGTAATGCCCTGCCTCCTCCTTTTTTTTTAAAGTCCAGTTAGTTTTGTTATTTGGCCTTATCGCAAGGATTTATTTTACTAAGACATGCCCATTTGTGATGCGATAACCTCAGAGAAATGTTAGATTTTACTCCTTTTATGTTCAGCCAAAAGAGATCACGTTCTGCCGGCCTCCTAGAAAATATTGTTATTATTATTATTATTGTCTTTATTAATAATGATCGTGTTGTTGTTCTTATAAATATTGTTGATAGTATTACATTTATTGTTGTTATCAGTAGTAGTAGTAGTATTAGTATTATTATTATTAGTAGTAGTAGTATTATCATTATTATTATTAACATTATTGTTATTATTATTTGTATTATTATTATCATCATTTTTATTATTATTACTACCGAAATTATTATTATTATTAATATTATTATCATTAATATTGTTATTATCATTATTATTAATATTATTATTATTATTTACAATGGAAAAGAGGGGAAGAATGAAAAAATAAGAGATTTATAAGCGAAAATGCTAAAGAGACAAAGAGAAAGAACAAGGGAAATGCTCTCGGCGGTCTCGCCTGCATTACGCAATTCAATATGATGAAAAATTGAGGTTGGGACGTTATTCATAGGCAGGGTGGCCCATTAGCAGGCCCCCCCCCCCCCCCCAATGAAATCCTCTAAATATAATCAGCATTTTGAAGTGAATATTGACCAAGGTCATTGGAAGAATTATGTACTATAATTTGTACCAAGATTAATAACTTTAACGGAACATAAAAAAATAACAAATTTTTTTTTTTTTTTTTAAATCCTCACATACTGACCTAAAATGACCTTTGACCTTGACTTTGTGACCTGGAATTTGCGTCATAAGATTTGTGATACTTGATAACCCTTGTGTACAAGTTTCATGGAATTTGAACAAACACTTTTGAAATTATGCTTAAATTTCAAAATCTTGATGTTGATGCCACAAAAGAGTCTAAGTATGTTGACCTGAAATGACCTTTGACCTTAATTTAGTGACCTGAAATTCTACTCACATGATTGGGAATACTTGATAACCCTTTAGTCAATTTTTTTTCATTGAATAAGAACTTATACATGTACTTTCAAAATTATATTAAAAATTCAAAAACTTAACCTGAGGTTAAGTTTTCGATAATGATGCCGCAACATAGTCTAAGTCTTTTGACCTTGATTTTGTGACCTGAAATTCTGCTCACACAATTGGGAATACTTGATGACCCTTTAGTCCAAGTTTCATTGAATGAGAACTTATAATTTCAAAATTATATTAAAAATTTAAAAACTAAACCTTAGGTTAAGTTTTTGATGTTGACGCTGCCGTCGCCGTCACTGGAAAAGCGGCGCCTATATCTCGCTTTTTGCTACGCAGGCGAGACAAAAATGGAATAGGAATGGAGAAAATATTGTGAAAGAAAAGGGTATGAGGAAAAAGATATATTTACATATTTATTACCTCTCTCCACGCTTTGACAGGCTACATCCCCAGGATGCCTTTCAAGTTTGGAAATACCTACAAGGAGGACTGTGATGTCTGTATTGATGATTTCCTCCACACTACCAAAGAACACGACACCAAGATCAAGACCCTGAAACAGACAGTGGTCCAGTCAAGACCTCTCCAACCCAAGAGGGATGAGAAGGTGGTCATTAAGGCTCTAAACTTCTACCGAGATCAAAACCCTGGAAAGGTTTTATTAGGTAAGAATTTTATATTGTCTTGTTTCATTTTGCTCCATACCATTTTATAACAAAGAACTCTTGTGAGTTCAAAGCCAATGCTTCATAAAATCTGGCTACATGTATGTACTCCAAATTACTTTTATGCTATTTCACTTACTATCATATCATGGAAATAGAAATATTACCCCACTGTGTTAATATGATAATACAGTATAATAATATTAACAATAATATAATGTGCCAAATTAGTCAAGAAATAGAAACAAAACACTCACTTAGAATCCAAGAACATGCATGAATGCATATAATGCTTCAAAATATTTTCAACAGTTTAAAATAGTTACCCGTATCATCATGGATGTAATCATTCTTGTAATCTACTGTACATCACTGATTTTACCAACAGAAATTTCTTGAAGATGGGTGCCAAATTGTTATTCATGCTTTCACCCAGGTTGATATTTCCATGAATCATATTCTCATTTCGTCACATTTTGTGTTATTTCTGTGTTTAATTATATAAATAGACGACAAGAGAGAATCGAGGGAAGCTCCCATTCCAGGTTACAAAGGCTTTATACCAAGACAAGGTGTGACTGAGCTAGGTCTAGGAGCAAGGTATAATGAGATGTGTGACAAATCACTCAATGTATTCTACGATGAGACAGACAGGCATGCAATCATCTCCAAGCCGGGGTATGTTCCAAAGTAAGTACACTTCAGTTTGACTCTTTCTTTGCTTGTAATAACTGTATCTTGTTCTGTTCATGTCAATCATCAGGATGCACTGTAATTGTAAAATTTTCAAACTTTCTAATATTATTACATGACACCTTGTCACATTTTCATAGTGTACTTAAAGGGCAACCCAACCCCTGGAATTAGTTTTTCTGTATGAAAGCAGAAAAATACGATAAAAACAGAATGACGAAAGTTTGAATAAATCAAACAGCTAGATAATAAGAAAGTTATGAATGTTTGGAATATGAGATCAATTTGTCTATGCGAATCTCAAATTGACAGTTTGGTATTAAAGTAGATTGTGAAGTATAACAGATATCTCTCCTGTTTGTTGTGTACAAAAACATCTTAACTTTTCTTCTACGTGCCTTCTCCCTTGGGGGCAGTAGTCAAAATATATTATGGAAGCATATTATCATAGGTCCTCTTTCCTCCCAAGTCATACATTTTTTAGAAGAAGAAAAAAAATGGAAATTTTAGTTGTACAGCAAAGAAATATCATGTAAATGACTAAATCTGTCTATTTGAGCTACCCTTTTCATTTCCATCAAAATCTCAGTCATCCAAGGTCATGGTTATGCTAGAATATGGCTGTTGCAATGGTAACTTGTATAATTTCAGTAGTTAACATAAATTTCTAATGAGAAAAACATTAAAAATACATGTATCCATTTCATGCTTAAAATTGTAATATTTTCTATGCCAGAACATTGTAGTTGCTATGGCAACAACCTGGTAGAAATTTTCTAAAAGTAGCTCGCTGTAGAATTTGTTTCTCATATGAATAGATTGACTTTCACTCATAGAACATCAGTTTGCTGTGTAAAGACAATTTTGATGTGCCTTCACTGCAGTACCTTTTACTGAGATAGATTTTAAGTGAAGTTTTTTTTTATTATTTAGTTTAGTGTCAAAAATTTATCATTAATCTTAGAGGAATTTTAGCTATATTATCTTAAGTATCCAAACGAAAAGCTTAAATTTTCTCAGTTTTATTCAATAAATTAAATTGAAAATTGAGGATTTAGGCTAAAATGCGTCACAAGGGCTTTTCCCTAGGCTGTCAGTGCAAATATTCTCATCTCAAACTACATTTATTTCATATCCTTGACATCATGTTTTTTTTCTTCATTTTAGGACTACTGTCCCTAAATTTGCTGGTAAGGCCAGTTTGCAGCTGACAAAAGATGATAAGAGTACCTTGATGCAGAGGAGACTCTACAAAGATATTGGCATGGTACCCAAGTACACAGGATACCTTCCACGTAAGTATTCCTACAGAGGATTCTAGGATGATTGCTTCTTAGGTTCCCCACACCAACTCAAACAACTGCATCCTGTAGTCACTCTTTATGCTACTTGTACAATATTGTAGAACAGCATAAACAAACCAATGTACCAAGTGCCCATACTTATGTAGCTATTCCACGACATGTTCACTGTATTTTTCCATTACATGTTCATCCTGTTCTTTTTTAAATGTACATGTTGATATTTATCATTTTTACGCCTTGTATTACTATATGTATTTAATTTTAAATGCTTTCTGTTATTATATTCAATAAATAAACTTAATAAAGTATGTGATAACAAAAAGTAATAGTAGCAGTGGTGGTAGTATCATTGTCATTATCATCATTGTCATCATCATTATCATCATTATGCAAATCGATACATAGTAATGATTATGTAAATATCAAATAACTAACACAAAAATAAATTGGAATCAATTATTTTAAGAAAAAAATTGCATTCTACTGGGTGATACATTAAATACTTACGATTTTCTTTTCTTTGACAGAAATCCGTTACCGATTCGGTCATACTTATGGTGATGCGTCCAGATCTCTTCCTGTGTGTAGTCATGGACAGTCCAACTATGGTGAACATCTACAGACACTTCAACAATCTGCTTGATCACCAGGAAGCAGTAGTGCTATGTCTTAATGTCAGCCTTCCACAGAGTCAGCCGGCCTCCAAGATGGATCATTCTTCGACCCGAAGCTGTGTGATAATTTTAAAGAACTTTACCTCCTAACAGCATATGCAAACATCTTTCAGGGGTCAAAAGATGTGTCGTATGTTGGCTGGTTGCTGACTTTTGGGAGAAGAAATGTATTTGTTCAATGTTTTGTGAACTTGCTGAACAAGGTCCAGAAGTTGTGAGAACTTGTACAAGAGATTCACAGAATTGTTTTATGATTTTTGTTTAATGTGTTCCTCTTCTCTCCTTCTCTCTATCTTCCCTCTGTATCTCTCAATCGCTCAACATGTCTTAATGATGTTGTCTTCTTCTTCTTAAAGCCCTCTCTGTCTCCATTATCTTTTCATTCCATTCTTCACAGGCACCCTTTATATTCCCTAATAATAACACTCTTCCTCTCCCTGTACTTCTGACTAAATACTTGACAACTGCAGTGCAGATTGTCACATACTAAACTTTTTTTAATGTGGATGATTGCTAAAATTGTTAATATGGAAAGAGCACAGCCTTTCAAGTTAAAACAAAGACAAAATTATGTACATGGCCCCTCCAACCTCTAAATTCATGTTGACTAAGAGTCAGATTACTTCATACAAAATCTCTAGATTTCCATGGGACAATCTAATATGCTTCAACTACAACATGAAATTGTGTTGTATAGGCAATATGTACTGCTGGCCACAACCTATGATTTTTGAAAAATTGTTTTACTCGTAACAATTATGTAAGAGACAAACTTTTCTTGATATTTGACATTTTCAGTGCTAGTTTGTGTCAAAGAAGGTTAACTGATAATCCACTTATTTTCATGGAAAACGATGCATTGGAAGTTTTAAAAGGTTGTGAGATTGAGACAATTCATGCAAATATAATGCTACTCCTGCTACTGCCTATGTTATAACATATTTGATAATCTTTTCCCTATAATTTCCTGTCTTCAAATGATAGGCCAATCTTATTTCATTCAATATGTAACTTTTTATTTTTTGAAATATCCTTTATATATTTATAAGCTTTAATTATTAGGATGTGGTAATTAAAGCCCCTCTGTCCTACTTGTAGCTACTTGCTCCCTCTATATAGAAAACTTCCCCAATCAGTGCCTGTTGATCCCCCATGATCCTCTTTTTCTTATGTTAGTTGAGAGCTGAGTTAATGAGATAGCCCCCTGTCAGTGACCTCGCTGTGTGGTCTAATCCCTTCAGGCCCAGTAGTAATGACGGTCTTTAAGAGATATTGATTAAAACAACACACTATTCCAAAATTGTAATTTAATTTGGTGCACATCTAATCTAAGAACAAACTAAGACCATCATACAGGGTGTCAAGATTGTTTTTAACAATTCTAATTTTATGAGTTTTCTGGGCACACTTCATGTAATATGCATATTCAACTTCATTTGAATGTTGGCTCTCTATACATGTTGTCTGAGGGGCAGATATATATGCAAATAAGTGCAAAGAAGTCAGTATTATATCTCGGTTCTGTATCTTGACCTGTCAAAGTGATAAAATAAAAAATAAAACTTAAATCATAATTTGCATAGAATATCTGCAATTTTGGATGTGGAACTGGTCAATGCATTCCTCTTTCATTTATTGAGCTCATGATGAATTAACAAAATATAAAATAATGATATTTTTGTATTTGTTTTGCTGACTAATAAAGTTTATATGTTTTCCACTGATAATTTGTATGCATTTTAAATGAAATTTCAGCTATAGTTCAGCACTTTATTTGTACATCCAAATATTGCATACATTGCATACATCATTTTAGAAATGTTCTATTTTCCTGAATTATTGTAATTTATGTTAAGTTTTGTTTTCATTTCTTACTGCTGTCCCAAATATTCATACCTGACTTCATGTACACAGCACTAAAAACACACAAAATGATGCATGATAAAAGGTATTCATTGAAACATTCCATGATTTTCCATCAATAAAAAGAGTACCTAAATTTGCTTTATTTTACATACTCAAAATGCTACATTAATCTCTTGAAGGAAACTATAAGTTGTATTGTAAACATGACTATATCTTTCACTAAATGGTAGTACATTTTTTTAAGCAGACATTCAAAATTAGTATGTTTTACAACTTCAATTTACTTCTCCTAGATTTCTTTAAAAGGAGTATATTGGTTTTGCCATTCCACAATATTCACCCATGGTACAAGCATTCTGTACTGTATGTCACATGTTGTGCTTTAGGAACTAATTTTACATGAGGGTTTTATATACAATATTTGAAAATAATGGCAGAGGGGGGCAGAAAAATTGTGAGGATAGTCCATGTGATAAATGTCCAGAAATTTTTACAAAAGATTTAAGAGGAAGCTGAGTTCTGTAAACTTTCTAATCTTTTATTTTTGTGCAGAAGAATATCATACTAGAACTGACACATGCCAAGGATTGTTTGTAATGTCATATGAATTCCAAATGTAACTAGAAATAGTTTAAAACTTTGGACCAATCTTTTAAATGCTACAGTTGAGTGAAATTGTTCTCATGTTTACGATTCAAATCCATACAATTATTATCATGTAATACACAATCAAACTTTCATATTAATTTCTAGGCTGTTAATGTAAGAATTCAAATTACAAAGCAGTACTAAACTCTATTTTCAGGCTTAAGAGTAATACATGTTATACAATACTAAAAAATCACAGTTCACATCAAACTATGATATGAAAACATAAACAGACAAAGAGTCTTGTAAAAATATAGCATGGTAAATACAATAAAGAATCGGTGGTACATGTTTTGAAAAATAACTCTGTTTATGAACCAATAGAGACACTAATTTGAGTTATAACATTGTATTAATCCAGCCTAACGTTACATATATATATTTCAGATATGACATAATGTGCAGCATTTCTTACCAATGAATACATACAATAGCATCTCCAAATGATTTTGAATTGTACTATTTAAATTGCTGGTCAATTTAGCAGTGGTCATTCAGGCAAAAAAATTCTATTTCTTCCTGTACTTATGTAAATATGGATTGTTGTAAATGATGTTTTTATGTAGAGTGCCAGCAACTGATTATTGTTTCTTCAAATGCCTATTGAATTTTTGCCTTAAATTCTCTGTAGAAGTTTTACACAAATAATGTTATTTTGCTGTTGACAACACACATTCTGTAAATGAGAAATATATTCAGGTTTGAAATAATAAAGTTACAAAAAGTCAAATGCTCTGTTTGTTGAAGATTCTTTCATTACTTGTATGTTTTCATGAAGGTAAATCAGTCTTTGTATTGCTTATGCTGGATTATTTTTTACTGTGTAAAATTATTGCAATTTACAAATGGCAAAACAACTATTTTACATCTTCTTTAATAACCTCAGACAAAAATTACAACTACAAGTTAGCATATTGAAGAAAACAGAAGCATCTAGCTATTCTGTTTAGGTGGGTTGACATAGTGCTCCTTAATTCAATATACCAGAATTACAAGCAGCAGTATTTCATGAATATACTTTGTCACACAAACAATAAAATGAATTCATACAAAAGAGAAACGGAACATTTTCAAACCTTAATCTACTTTGCAGTTATAAAATATGCAATAATAATATCTGCAATCCAACAGCAATTATTCCATTCTTTCCCTGATACCAAAATAATCTTTTGCAAATAATCAATAATTACAAGCAGCATACACACAAAAACCAATGCATTCTACATATAATAAAAGAGTTATATATTAATGTCATCCTGAAAATAATTTCAAAATATATTAACCTGAGTAGGTACCCACACATGAATACAACTTGATTATGAAACTTGTAAAAGACACATGTTTTCATTCAAAAGTACTATGTACATTGATTATAATACTCCCTATTTTACCCACATATTACATTCTGTCAGTCATCACATAAAACATGACTAGATATATAAAATTATATAGTACTATATACAGGAAGGAATTAAATTTACTCTTTTAATTCAGTTGTTTTTCTGGCTTCTTTTCAAAATAATCTAGTAGAGCACAATATTACTCAATGACAATACATGGTATAATAAGAGAACAAGAAATTGCATATATTTCACCTAGGTGCAGCAACTTCACATTTGATAAAGTATCTATTTCAGTTCTTCTTTTTTGTTAACTTGAAGTTTTGCAGCAGCCTTCCATGTGAATTCCTCTCCCTGCAGCATTACATCCTTTCCCACAAGTCACTGCTTTTTTTCCTTTACAAACCTTTTTAAACAAAAACCACCATAGAAAGTTTTTTTGAATCAATTTTTTATAATATTATGGGCGCTTTCGCATTTTGAATGGAAATGGTATATATCTAAGTTTAAAAGATAGAAAGATCGAGATCACACTGTATCTACAAAACTTGTGAAAAATAGCTATCTGTATAATGAGTTTTTAATATATTTCTACACTGCTTTATTCCAATGGATATTCAAATTAATAAATATATCATTCTCTTACAACAACAACAAAATCTGTATTATTGACTCAAGTTGGGTATTAGTTCTTTTTCGTGTTGGTTATATTACACACAACCAGCCGGCCCATGTATTGTTATTTTTTAATTAATTAATTAATTAACGGTCACTGTATTTTTTCAAAGTGGAGCTGAATTGGTATGTTCGTATTGGCTAAATTTCACACATTTTGGGGTCTAAAATTACCTTCATAGCAATTTTAGGTCCTAAAAGGGCACTAGAAATGTCATAGATAAGAATAAGAGCAATAACCATGTACTTTGAAGGCATTTGCGGTCTGAAAACCGAACTCAACTATCCCTTTAACCAAAAAGTTATATATTCTCCCCCAAATTCAGATTCTGTTGGTTCATATACTAAGTTGTAGAGAACTGTATGGTATGCAATATTTGTACAATACTGTGCCTTATATTAAACATTTCTCCATTCAATAACAACTAAACAGATGCATACACACTCCAAATTTATGTCTCCTCCCCCTACAGTATAATTTTTCTGCCTGTTTAGAATGATTATTCAACAGGGCTTCCCTCTGCCACAATACATTCCTTTATGCATTCCTATATACAATTTTAATCTAATGTTAAGGGGGTTGTGGAGATTGCATAAGGGTCAAGCTCAAGTCAAATGGTACCAAATTTTAGTTTTCACACAACATTGCATCCAAATAATCACTTACCAGGAATTCAGAATAGAGTAAGAAATATAATGGCAACGGTTTACTTTCAATCTGTTGAATTTTATCAACCATTATCCACCGTTATCAACCTAAATTTTATGTTCATTAAGACAAAAATTGGTTTAAAACGAACAAGGAAATTTAAGAAGCCATAAAATAGAACCTGAGGTCTTGTGGTTTTACAGTCATATCTGAAGATAATTATTATGTAACTAACCAAGGTCATTTGTATGAATGAACTGACTTTATCTACCGTGAGGGTATTTAAAGAATACTATTTGATTTACAGAGCTGTTGTACTTTTCTATTGACTACCAAATTTCATACTTCTTGTAAGGTACAATCAATAATGGCAATTTATATTGTTAAACTATGTATATATCCTTTCTTTTAATAAATCATTCATTTCAGAAGGCAGTTTGTAATTCTGAGTTAAAACAGAGCATTCAGCAGCTAACACATTACATCTAGCTTAGTTATTTTATCCCCCCTCCTACAAGAAATTCTCATTTCAACAGATTGTATATTATGGCTAATATAGGCAATCAGGAGTCTATCAACCTCTTTAACACCGTATTCAACATCATATGGCAGTACATGTAGCTTGGATATCTTGTTGCAGCCCCGTTGTAAGACATGGAGCCCAGAAGGCAATTTGGTCCTGGATTCCTAAGAGTACCTGGTCTGGTATCACGTTACAGATATGTATCTCCTGTTCCTTAGTGATCACTGCTGAGTCTTGGGTTACACATTACTATTCTGTAGGATAGAGGCACAAACAAAACAGAAAAATTGTCTGTAATGCTGAAATGTACAGGCATATATGTGCATTTAGTATAACTATTTCAGAAAAATGATAGAGAAAGGAAAATATTGATAAAAGACGGGTGCAATTTGGTCCTGGATTCCTGTGAGGATTATTCTGGTACCTCATTACAGATAGATATATCTCCTGTACTGTAGAGAGCACTCCTGTGTCTTTAAGCTCACTAGTGAGTATCAAACTACATATATGTAGCAGGGCATAGGTGAAAAGAAGAGAGACAAGCTAAATAATAGCATGATGAAATGTTCAAAGGAATTTGCAGTTGCAACAATAAGAGTACAACTATTAAATGCTAACTTTAGATTAAGAAGATCTGATTACCATTTACAAAACATAATTGGAGGACTTGTCCCCTAAAATTGAAGAAATGTGTTTTTAGTGATTTAACTCTGCCTATCCCCATATGAGAGGAGAGAAGGGATGAGTATAAAAGGGTTTTGTACTACCCGCAACACTGTTATCATAATCAAGGTTCGTTCTACTTAAAGATGGGTTGTAAACAGAACTGTTTTTTGGGGGTTAAGAAATTTCAATGAAATTACATGAAAGAGAACATTTGTATTCACCTGAGAACTCATCATTTGGTCTTAGTTTAGTGAAGATAGCGAGCCTGTTGGCCAGAGCAAAGAAAGCAGCATAATGGCCAATGTCAAAGGCATCACGTTGGTCAAGACCGTGCCGCTCCAGGTTAGTAAAATGTTCATCTGTGATTGGTTCGTTCTTGGTGACTGCCATGGCCATTTCTAGAATGGCTCTCTGTCTGTCAGTCACGTCAGCTGTTTCCCAATTCACCGTCATCTGGCAGTATCAAAATGAAAATTTAAAAATAGATCATGTTGGTTCAAATCTGTGGATTGCCATCTTGTAGCAATCTTTTTAAAATATGCAATAGACTACAAATTTACACAATAATATATATATATATATATATATATAATGAGATTTACTATCATTTTGGTTTGTTGGGGTTTGAGGTTCTTTAGTACTAATATCAAATAACAAGTTGTTACAATACGGTTGTACTTAAATATCTGGCATGAAATGTAGAACCGGAAAATAACAAAAGTGTTAAATCAAGTCTGATCCATATCATTGGTCTCATGAAGATAACACAATTGTTCTAAGGATTTCAGAATATGGACATTTACTGCAGAATTTAATCTCAGATGTATGTAACCAGCTAACTCTATCATTAAATATTACTTCTTTTTTTAATGACTGAAACCTAATTTCACAGTTAAAGAGTGGAAAGAAAAGAAAAAAAAATGAGAGACAAACCTGATCAGTTAGTACTGGATCATTGGTGTTGAGCCTAAAGACCATTCTATGAGAAACTGTGCAGTAGATACACTTGTTTTCTGTACTGACGGCCAGGCTGATAAATGATTTGTCCTCCTTCGTCAGATTGCCTCGGTCCGATATAAGGTGGTCGTAGTAGCCAAAGAAGTACTTAAACGAGGTAGGGTCATATGACATTATCTTGAAGATGTTGGGAAGGAAGCCACTCTGTGAAAAACAGGAAGATACAAGTAATTGATAAATTAAATCTTTCATGTTCTAAATAGAATCTAATTTCTTTCTTTTTTCCTCTCACTTAAAATGACATGAAAAATGAAAGTAAAGTATAAAATAATTTCTTCAACTTACAAACAAGTCATTCCATTAGAGCTAAGATAATAAGTGGAAAGATATATGTGAGAATCAGTATGTGAAATCGAGTAATGTCAATGTAGCATAGAAGTGAGACAATAGGCAACAGAAAAATAGCAGACAGAGGAAATTACTTGTTATTTATATATTCACATACTATGTATAAAACAAAACACATAAACGAAAAATGAGAGAAAGAACAGACTACAATATATAGCAATTTTAAGAAGAAAATGAAGCAATAACATAAGTAGGTGAATATCATACTAAAATATATCAATAACAATTTGTTTCTGTATTTGTGACCCTTCCTCTTGTCAGTTAAGGACATGGGTATTATAATGTAACTTATTTAATTTTCTTCTCCTGAAATAACCATGTCAATGACTTATATATTTTCCCTGCAATTTTCTACATATTTCTTACGGTTGAAAAAAATATATCTTTTAGTGCAATGTTTAGGTAACCCGGATAAGCTATATAAAAAAGCTGTCAAAAGAGTTAAAGAAACAACTAAGATTGACATAATAAGGTTGAGAGGATGAGACAGAGAAAGAGTGGGAAGGAGAGAGAGAATGAGAAAGAAAGAAAGAAAGGGACTTGAGGAGAGAGAGACTGCGAAAGAAAGAAAGGGAAGGAGAGACAGACAGACAGAGCAACATACAGAAAGAGAGACAGACAGACAGAAAAAGACAGACAGGCAGGCAGACACAGACAAAGACAGAGATAGAGAGAAAGAGAGAGAGATTCACCAAACAGCAGCCCACCATTGGAATTAACTAAATCATGTTGATGCATCATTGTATAATGATTCACATTCATACATCTGGTGTTTTGAGAGGAAATTTGAGTTGAAGGGAGAAGGATGGGATTTTAAAAAATCATCAAAAATAATTCAAACCGCAACTCTCACTGTAAACTAGGGCCATGTGTAAAGCTCTCCAGGGATTCAGAAATGGTAAAGGCCATTGTAAAATAGATTTGCAAATTAAATCATGAAGTCTGTCCTGAAACTCATATTTCGTTACCCTTTATTAAATTTAACATAACATGTCAGACTGTTTTCAGATCAGTACACTTTGCTGTATACTTACATTGTATGCTACAATTTTATAAATAATCAATCAAAAATGTGAATGTCCTTGGTGTGCTTAACACTAAAACATGCAAGAAGCATAGGCAACTATATACACTCAAGAATATATACATCAGAAGTCATCTTTAGTATCTTGTGTTCATACTGGATGACACAGCGATGAAACAGATTTCAAGCAAACTGAATCACAACTACAATTCTAAAAACAGCAATGGCAAATACTGAGCAGATTGATCTGGAATGCGAGGGATGGATTTTAAAATTCTCTCTGAACTTGACCATTTCTTGTTATGTATGCATTTGATCTGCAAAAGACCTTGGTAGCCTAAACATGTATATCAAAACTCATTCTATAAAATGAATTATTCACAGGATGGCCATAGAGACACTGCCAATCACAATGAAATCAAAGTGACATTATAACTGAATCCACTGTGTTGTGTAGTGTTATCAATCTTGAAGGATATGGCATCAAACAGTAAATGTGGAATAGGCTCAACTGTTTGCTATGCATTAACTTTCTACTTCCTAAATACAGAGTACATGAAGGTCAAAAGCATATTATGTGCATGTATTTGGGGGTTAAAGTCAAATGAAACAAAACCATGCATACTTGTATTTACCCTCCAAGATAAATCAAATCAATTTCATTTCAAGAATTACCTCTATCAAAACCTATAAAGTGCTTGGTTATGATGGGTAAAAGAGATATGTTAACAATTTATAAGAGTCTGACATCAATCAGCTTGACAGGCGATCAAATTCTGATTTCCCACCCCTCAAGTCACGCCCACGGTGCATTGTTGCAACTTCCTTTTGTCTCGGATTGAGCAGTGGCTGTTATTTTTTAATACAGATTTGCAAGTGTCCTGGCCAAGCTGTCATCTGCAGGATATTAATCACACAGCTACTTCCACTAAAGCCTTGGCAAAATCTCAAGATAAAGAAACTATATGAGGACAGAAGACTTCCCAAAAGATCTCCATACACAACCCCCCTCAAGATCAAAATCAAGGTTTCTTTCTTACTTATGATGCTAATATTCCTTTGACAATAATTTGTGGATAGTGAGGCAATGACGTCACAGACTCATGAGTGAGTTGCCAATTTGTCTTGTAATCACTTAGTTATTTGTTTTCCGATTTTGCTCAAACTTTTTTTTGATTGGTTTCTCGATTTTTCTGCTTCTATTGAAGTAAGTTATTTTTGGAGTGGACTTGCCCTTTAAATAGTATGAGATAACATACAGTCATTAACATATAATTTAAACCTCCATCATTATTTCTCCTTTTGTAAAGAGCGCTGCCCTCCATTACCCGACACCAATTTATGAACCTGAATTAACTCATTTCAAGACAAATGAAAATGAAAACTAAAATAGAACTTGATAATTGACCTCCATTATGTCTGTATCTCTTCAATGAACAATTTGTATCAGTACTAGCCATTAAGGCTAGAATGATTAACTGCTTAATTAGGGAATGTATAAACTCATTTACATACAAAAAATAATTTGCTGTGTTTGATACTAAATTTAGATTACTGCATTGATAAAGGGCATAAAGGCTGACCTTTTCTTGAAAAATTAACTGAGCATGACATTGGCACTTTCAAATACATATTCTAAAGAATTCATGAATTAGAGTTCAAAATCTCTTATTTCATTGGGTCATATTTCAAATGCAAGCTCAAGCTGTAATATAATGAAAAACCCAAAATATTTTTCAATCTATTGCAATGTATTTGAACTCTTTCAGAGTAATTACAGTATGAACTGAACTATTAAATTTCTATTCTCTCATTCTTGTTGTTTCTTTCTCTCTATCTGTCTCTCTGTCTCTCCCCCATCTCTCTTTCTCCCCAGCATCTCTCTCTCTCTCTCTCTCTCTCTCTCTCTCTCTCTCTCTCTCTCTATCTATCTTCCCCTCTCTCTCTCTTCCCCTGACCCCCTCTCTCTCTCTTTCTCCCTCACCCCTTTCTCTAATTAGCTCTTTCACTCACTCACTCTCTCTCTCTCTCTCTCTCTCTCTCTACCTCTTTACTTTTTCTCAGCTCTACAGTGCGTATAAAACAAGTATACACTATATCATCCAAAATATAATTTCACGACGTCTGCATTATGGGCGGTGGTCTAATCGCTCGAATGAATAAAAATAATAACACAAAAATTGGTTTGCGCAAAAATGTTTCAGCCATCTATTGGATCAAATTACAAATCAGGTACATGTATTTATCCTACGTGCCCTGTTAATAACAATCAACAATTGATTTGAACATATCATTTGATCTTTGACCCTCTATACCAGGCCTTCTCAACTAGTTTATTAGAAGTGCCAAAACGAAAAGAATTTGTAGTTGAAGTGCCACCCTGTAAGGTCGACTGTGCTGCGAGGGAGCGTAGTGACCGAGCCGAAAATGGGTGGGGTCCAGGGGCAAAGCCCTAACAGGGGTAGCAGGGGGCTGAGCCCCCTGAAGCTGGTAGATTTAGGGCTTTCTAAAGGCCCAAATGGGGCATTTTTAGCACCATTTCATTCCACAATATAATCAATCATAATTTCATATTGATGTGAAAAAATTAGTAAAATTCCTGAGTACAATTACACTGGAGGTATATTTATATGAAGTTTTTTTGTGTGCAATAAACACGGGAAATGTCAAAATAAAGTGAAATTAAACAAACAAAAACGACATGTTTCAAGATATTGGCAATGTTGAAATATCTCATCGTAAGCTAATTCTTGTTCAGACCTTTTAGATTCGTATAAAATGGTAAAAAACGATAAATTCCCCCTTTCTTCCTGTTTGTTAATAAAACAGGAAGAAAGGGCTCATATTCGACTGCAACTTCTTGATTTAGCTGAGTATTTAATTCTAAAATATATATTCTCTTTTTTTCTGTTTTTTGTTTTGTTGTTGCAACAGTCGCGCGCCACTCCGACTGACCGCAAGCGCCGCCAGTTGAGAAGGCCTGCTCTATACCTACATTTGCATACCCCTCTTGCAGTGACATATCCGGATAAAGGAGATGGATGGCATCAGTAAACATGGTAAATATATGTATCCATCCCTCCCTCCCTCCCTCCCTCCCTCCCTTAATCCCTTCAGTAAACATGGTAAATATATGTATCCCTCCCGCCCGCCCTCCCTCCCTCCCTCCCTCCCTCCCTCCCTCCCTCCCTCCCTCCCTCCCTCCCTCCCTCCCTCCCTTAATCCCTTCAGTAAACATGGTAAATATATGTATCCCTCCCGCCTTCCCTCCCTCCCTCCCTCCCTCCCTTCCCCTTTCGCTCTCTCTCTCTCTCTCTCTCTTTATATTTCTTTCTTTTCTTATCCTGATGGCTTTTCATTTTTATGTGTTCTACTGTGCGTTGGCTTTTCATTGGAAACTCGTTACAAAATATTATAATAACTTTATAATCCCTTTCCAAGGTAACACCTCACAGCAGTGCACAGAGATCACAGAGTTTAAAAAACAAATTAAGGGGGGGGGGGAGATGATTATCTACAATAACTTTCAGTCCCATTGAAACCTACCTGTTCTAACAAGAGTTTAATTGATTATGGAAATGAAACAATGTAATGCCTGAACTTAATACTCTTATTTAATAAGCAATAAACCAAGTTCACTAACATTAAACAAAAAGTTACCTCTTGGTCAGCCTATAAAGTTACATGAATAAAAGTATGAATAAACCACATATTCATGGGTTTCATAAAAAGTATGTGCTGCACGTACTGCCAATCATTTCCACGCTACTCT